TAATTTGGGCCCGAGTCAGGCAGCTAGAGAATCGACAACAATGGCTTCACTGTGGCACATCTGAAGTGTGTGTGGGTAAAAGCAGACTCGTGTAGCTTTTCTGATGTGAATGTATGTAGGTAATCACAGAGAAACCAAACAGAAGAACTGTGTAACTGAGGAGGGAGAGGAGGAGGAGGAGGAAGAAGAGGAAGAGAAGGAACAAATACTCTACATTTGTGACACCAGCGTGGCCTTTTTGGGGGGCAGACTCAGAAGTGACAAGGTCACTTCAGCCAATCTCAAGCCTAGTTATAACTTATACTAAAGAAGCCAAAACTTGCAGACCACAGGCATTCTTCAGCATCCCTCGCTTGGACAGAAGGAACTACCCTAAGCATTAAACCAAATCCAAGCTCCAGAAGAGATGAGAAGATGGGTTCTGCTCTCCCTGCAGCTCATCCATGGTACTGTTACTTATACTGGAAAGATCCTACATCTAAGTTCTTGTTAAGCCATGTTAAGACATGGCTAGTTAGCCAGTCACAAGCCAAGACTTTCCTTATGAACAAAACAGGCCTAGGCCCTCTTTGGCTCAGTATGCTAATACTAACCAGCACACCCCCACCTGGACATTCCCACTTCACCTTCACAACTGTAATACTCCCTGTGTTCTTTATTACTCTTTTAAATTGCCCTTTTAATCTCAATATTTATTTTCCAAAAAAGCAAAGTGTTTTAAATCACTAATACAAAGCTACTTTCAACATCAGAAATGCTTATTAGATAAATATAGTGTTATAAGGTTATAAGGTTATCCACAGCAACTTGTGAATAAAATGGCAAAATGGATAGTATTCTCACCATGATTCAATATTTACTGTTAACAGCTTTTCACTTCTACCAATAGTGACCTCTAGTAGTGCCAGCAGTCTAGGTCTTATATTGTGGGGTAAACTAAATTAAAAGGAAAATGGCACGGTTCAATTATTTAAGTCAAATTACAGTGTCAACTATAAAACTCAACCTCCTAAAACTGGAGCCAGTAACATAATACATTAGGAAAGTCTGCCCTGGATCCGTGGATAGCAGACCCTATTATGGGTCAATACCTTTTCTTATATTAGAAGCCATTTCCCTAGGACAGCTACGAACAGGTAGACGGCTACAAGCACTGCACCACAGTGAATGCCTCATACCTGAACTCTATGTAATAAGCCTGTCCAGTTTTATTTAAGGTTTTAACACCACATCCAGATATCTATCCCATGTACTGTATTCCAGTCATCCTCTAATCTATATTCAAGGAAAAATGCAGTATCTTTTTCTCTCAATATATTTTGGTACCTGCATGCTTACTATGAAACTCGGTGATCACTTGTATCATGCAAGATGGAGGGCCTCATTCCATCCCTTCACAGAACACAGCCCCACCAGAGTTACAAGCCAATCCAAAGCCGACCCAGTATTGATGACAGACCCAGGACTCTGGCCCAAGATCTCCAGCCAGTAATTCTGGGAGCAGCCTCTGTTCCACACTCCCACCCCCCAAAAGAAGCAAGCCCTCACCCCCTAGAACACCCATAAGCACTGCCCTTGCCTCATGAGCTCACTCTTTGCTAAAAGCCCATATCTCCTGTGACTTTGTGCCCAAAATATCAGAAACCAAACCTACAAGGTGAGGGGTTAGAGGTCCGGGCAGTTCTCCTTGGCCCAGTCCCTTGAAATACCTTATAGGCTTTCTTAGAGAGAAACACAAAATTCTCTTATCTTTCATTTAAGCAAGGAAGGAGACTCCAAATAAACGTGAGCTTAAGTCAGCTGTAGCATACCGTCTTGAACCAGGACTACCTTGGAGACTTCCCGCCTGACAGACAGAGGTGCAGGGTTGTCTGCAGCAGAGAGAAGTTAGGCTCATTATCACATAGAACTTCTGAAGGAAGTCTGTAGCAAGTCTGAGTAGTAACTTCTAAAATCCTGCTACTGCCTGAGGTACTAGCAGGGTTAGCAGCCCCTGAGAATCCTGCTACTGCCTGAGGTACTAGCAGGGTTAGCAGCCCCTGGGAAGGTTAGCAGCCCCTGGGAACCAAGGCCCACTCCAGAACCACCACTTCAGAATCTTCAATTTCATAAACCTTCAGGTAACCCCTGCATGTTCAGGTTCAACATGGAGTAAATGCAATGGTGGAGTGGACCAACACCTCACCTCTGTCCCCCAAGGTCAAAGCACTGATTTTTAGAGACTGGGGAACTGAAGATACCATTGAAAGCTCTCTCAAGAGGTGGCCAGCCCTGGTTTTAGCTCTTCTGCAAGCCAGGGGCTGGGCAGGGAACTCAGACAATCAGCTCCTGTCTGCAGCAGGCAGCTCCAATTAGTGCAACAGAGAAGCAGAGACTAGACAGGCCTCAGCCAATGGCCCCAGAGCCTCACAATGCCTCAAGTGTACAGAGTAGGCTCTCACACTGCCTCTCAGGCTGGAGGCTTTGTGGTTTTTATTTATCTACTCCAGTTGCCTTGGAAATTTGTATCTGCCAATTTTTATCTGCCAAAAATTAATAGTAAATAAGAGGAAAAGGGAAAGGAAGTACACTGAGATCTGCCCATCTGGAAATGGCCTTAGACCCCGTTCCTGTTGGTTATAGCAACAGGGACCTTGTTTTGCCGCGTCACTCTGGCAGGCTTTTACAACCTTAAAGAATCCCTGAACCCATCCATGCTCCATGCTGCATTCTCTGTGTTTGTATAGTGGTTTGTGCCACCATTCCATGTGCAAGGCTCTCCCTGGCCAGTTTAAGGCCCTTGGCATTTCTCAAGCAGTCTCAGGGAACATGAAAAACTGCTGGGTCCTTTGCAAGGCCCCAACGCTTGCAGAGGGCAGGACTGGCAATGAGGAATTTCAAAGGTACAATGTGAGCACCCCAGGTCAGGAAACGTTACACCCTGACACAGACTTCAGACATGCTTAGCTTCATTTGTCAACATGCTAAAGGTTAAAAAATGAACACATGGAAGAGGCGTGTAGCTCTCTACCACCCTGAGAACTGGTGAGCCAGGAGGCAACCAGCCACTGCCAACCCCAGGGATTACCATCACAGGTAACACAAAGCTAATCGCTTGTTCCTCTTTCATCAAGTACTTCTGGGCCCCTGTTTAATTTCTCCTTCCTAATTCCAATTTCAAAACTGCTTTTTCTCTCCTCGGACCTTGTGATTGCAGTTTCATCTCACACAGTCACCACTTCTCTGCAGAATTGTAACTTTTGTTGTTAATAACTCAGGTTACTACTGAGACAAGAAGTCATTCCATCATGTATGCCACAGTACAGTCTTACAGGCACTTCCTAGATGTACTTCCAGCCAGGCCAGGTCCCATCCCAACTCCAGTGTGTTTAAAAAACAAAAACAAAAACAAAATCTGTTTGGCTCCCAGCCCTCAGGGCAGCCATTTTGTAGCTTATGTCTGATGGCTGACATAAAAAGGTAAGCTGGGGGAATGGCAAGGAGTCACAGATAAACAGATACTACATCAGGGACAGAGGCAGAGAGGTACACAGACACAGGCCATATCAGGTGGACGGTGGGGGAGAGGGCCCACAAGCTGGTCCCAAAAGAGTAGGACAGTGGAGAAGGAAGGACACATCTAGAACAGAAGTTGTAAGACAGAGTCGATGAACCCCAAATGGTATCAACTGTAGTTACTGAAGCATCAGTTCTGCCCCCAGCCTTATGGTAAAATCCTCTTTATCTGAGCTACCTTCTGTTGTGTAATGCTCGAGGAGCTCTAAAACTAGACCCATCCCCTAGTACCATCAAAGTAACTTTCCATGAAAGATGAAAGACAATGTGTCAATGAATCACAGCACCACCAAAAGACACCTCCCAACTTAACCTGGTCGAATGGGTGAGAGCAAAGGAGGGAGAGATCCTTTTTCTTCACTGCTGCAACAATGATCCACTTATAGATATGGTACCTGGGCCTACGGTGTCTCTGAAAGACCAGAGACGGAACTTCAATTCTCAGAAGAGGTTGTGTGATGCATGAGAAATTAAACAGATAATTCCGACTACACTGGGACCTGGCCTGGGAAAATTGTCAAGGTCCTTGTAAGACTGAACCCCATCTCTAGAGAGGACCGCACCAGGAGCTGCCACGTCACTCTGCAATCCACAGCAGCGGTGCTTAGAAAGGACTCCAACCACACTCTATTTCAAAATGAAACTCCCTTGTGCAGTGTTTAATAAGGGGAAAAGATACAGTTAGTAAAACCTGAAATTCAAGGTAAACTCACAAATAAGCCACATGAATGCAAGAGGACAGAGACATCAGCAGCCTAATTAAGATGACAGGAGACAGCTCACAGTACGTCAGACTGCTGGGGAAGAACACAGACAGTTCACACTATGTCAGATTACTGGGGTAGAGCACACAAACAACTCACACACAGTACGTCAGTCTGCTGGGGAAGAGCACACTAAGCTACAATCAAGAGATTTAACCTTTCCCTGGGGCATGACTTCTCCATTCACCACCAGCTCTCAATGCCAGGCTCAATAAAATGAGTGAGTGTTGGTCATGGTCACCTATAGCCCTAGTACTTGGGAGGCTGAGGCAAGAGGACTGCCACAACTTCAAGGCCAGCTGGGCTATAAGGTAAGTCCCAGGCCAGATAGTTACAAAGCTAGACCTTGTCTCACAAAACCAAACCAAACCAAGCAAGGTAAGTCACATGGTCTCCAGCCAAGAGAGGTGAAGACTGAAGCCACTTTTTAAAAAGTTACAAAAATAGTGTTGGTAAATATTTGAAGTTAACCAGAGGATTTAAAGTGTTATTAGCCAAGCATGGTGAGACAGGCCTGGGATCCTAGGACTTAGGGGAGGTTAGGTTGGAGGCTTGCAAATTCAAGAGCAGCCTGAGCTACAAAGTGAGATGTCTCAAAAATATAAAATTTAAATCTCATCCATTTCCATACAAAAAAATGCAGACAGCTTTCCCATAACCAGAATAAGCATCTCAACTAACCTTTATACACTCGCTTTTTATTAATCATGCCCCCAGCATCAAGAGAGTCAAGAGGACATTCCAAGTGGGATGTCTTCTTACCATTTCGAGACACGTCAAGCTCCACCAGCTGCATGAAGTTCGCTATTTCTGGAGGGAGCCGCTGAATTTCATTATCACTGAGTCCAAGCTTTCGTAATTTGACTAGCTGGAAAAATTGCTGAAAGAGAAAATGGTGTAACATAAGTTTCATATATATCTGCACGGCTCTTTGAGATAATAGAAAATTTCTGTTTGTCTTTCAAAACTAATGAAGCCTTTACCGATGTCAATTTCCTAATCTGAGTAGTCAACTGATGATATGAAGGAAGACATCACTGGCAAAAGCTGTGTACAAAATACCTCTCAGGACGTACATTTTTTTTGCAAGTTCCTATCCATCTACAAATATTTAAAACTAAAAATGTTTAAGAAAATGAATATGCAACTTCATGAGAATAGATTGCCACATCTTCTAGTTATCAAAACTAAACTATTAAACCTGTAAGAATAATATATTTTTAAAGAATTTTAATTAAAACTATTGTTTATACAATACATAACACATTAATTCTATTGGTTAGGAGTCGAAAATCTGTACTGGTGTCCCAAGGCTGCAGCATAATAAATAGGTAGTCTTTCTCCTATACCCTTCGACAATGTACTAAAATTTATACAGAGATGAACATAAATACAAAGATATGCAATAAGCCTATGAAGACTACAAACATACCAAGCAAGAGGCAA